TTGCCTTTTTTGATTCCATAATGGACATTACCTATTTAAGGGGAAAATTTTTTTTCCTTCTACTCTTCTAAGGTCCAGGGTCCCTGTAACAGAAGGTTAATAATAATCATCATCATCATCATCATCATCATCATCATCATCATTGCCGGGCACAGTGGCTCACGCCTGTACTCCCAGCACTTTGGGAGACTGAGGCAGGTGGATCGCCTGAGGTCAGGAGTTTGAGACCAGCCTGACCAACATGGAGAAACCCTGTCTCTACTAAAAATACAAAATTACCCGGGCCTGGTGGCACATGCCTGTAATCCCAGCTACTCAAGAGGCTGAGGCGGGAGAATCACTTGAACCTGGCAGGCGGAAGGTTCAGGCGGAAAAAAACAAGCAGAAGTTTATTACCATGTATATGTTCTATATACATGGGAGTTACCCAGTGGAATGAAAAATCTCAAAGAAGTGGTTTTGGATTCAGGCTTAAACACCATGTTCAGCTAAATCAAAGAAAGATATGGGGGAACTGAGCTATGGGATAGTGACCAAGAAAAGTATAATAAATAAAGTTAAGGTTTGTTATGCAGGTTTGTGTCTGTGCTTTCTCCATTGTTAGCATTCTCTTGTGATTGAGAGACATTTTTCTCTTTCTTGTATAGAAAGGGTCTCACTTGTGGCCAGGCGCGGTGGCTCATGCCTGCAATCCCCGCACTTTGAGAGGCTGTGGCAAGCAGATCATGAGGTCAGGAGTTCGAGACTAGCCTGAGCAACAGCTGAAACCCCGTCTCTACTAAAAACAAAAAAAATTATCCAGGCGTGGTAGCATGTACCTGTAATCCCAGCTACTCAGGAGACTGAGGCAGGAGAATCGCTTAAACTGGGAGGCAGAGGTTGCAATGAGCAGAGATCAAGCCACTGCACTCCAGCCTGGGTGACAGAGAGAGACCCCATCTTAAAAAAAAAAAAAAAGAAAAAGGATCTCACCTGAAATGGAGATTTCCTTTATCGATGAACATTTCTCTTACAAAAGGGTGACTTCTGCTGTCTTTTCAGAGTTTCCCCTGTGTCTGCTGTTTTTCAAAATGATCCTTAGCCAAAAAGGTGTACTTTGAGGTAGCATATTCTGGTCTCCTACAGCTATTCAACTGAGGACAGAGTAGGTAAGATTTTAGTTGTTTTACTACCCTTGTCTCCATCCTTCCTATGTAGCCATATTATAATAATTTTTGCTAAATTAGTAGTTAATATTAGCATAAGTATTACTGTGCAATGTCATTCACTTTTGCATCAAATAGTAGTGGCCTATGATTTATTTTGTATTTTTAAAGTAGTTAATAAGAGCCTGAGTTTTTTTCATTTGCTTAATTTTTTTTTTTTTTTTTTTTTT